TCCCCAATAAGAGGTGATCTAGTCTCTGCTTGAACATATCCAGGAACAAAAGATTTCACTGCTGTTTACCTGTGAGTAGAGCTGGACCAGGGATTATGGGATCCTGTAATGGAATTCAGAGGAGAAAGTTTGGTTCAAAAGTGTGTGGAAGATTGAAGCTTGGGGGAAATTAAATTCAATGATTCTGAGAATAGCACCAGCTTTGGTTTAGGAGGATACTTGCAAGGTAGACAAAGAAAGGGTAGTCAGAAGGCAAGGGGAACAGCCAGTATAAACTATCAGAAAGCCAGGGCAAGTGAAAATTTCAGGAAATAACACTTGTGTGGAAATGAAGGCCAAAGAAGGAAGTTATGGTCTAGAAAGTCAAAGAGATGGATGTGGAGGTCTTGAGAAACTGCATGGCATACTGGACATAGCAACAGACCTGGAATGAGAAGAGTTCTCAGGAACAGAGCTTCTCATGCAAGTGGACTTTGATCTCATTTTCTGCAACTGCTATTGTTCCCAACAACAGAAAAAAACAATATGCAAAGAATTTGAGATTTCAGCAGTGAAGAGACTCCTTCCATCAACTCAGATACCCAAATGTTAGTTCTCTCCCTCTCTAACTTCCTTAACTACCATATATTTAACAATCTTGTGTTAGTCTTCTATTTATTCTGTATTTTTTATATATGTATATATTGTCTTCTCTGATAGAATGAAAGTTTCTTGAGTGTAAGGATTATTTCAGGCTTTGCATTGATATTGCCAACACTGAGTACCTGGTACATAATAGGAAGTTAATAAATGCTTATTGATTAATTTTTTAAATTAATGTAAACTTAAATACAGAATGAGAAAAGAAAAAATAAACATTGCCATGTACACAGCAGTACATGAGAGGATTCAATATAAAATAATAAATTTGCATTTCAAGAAAACCTATGTAATTAATACTACACATTGTTTTCAAAGCTATCCAGCTTTTCTTTGCTTTGAGGTAGGTTTTCTTTTGTTTTCTGTTTTGAATTTTTTACTTTTTTTTCCCCCTCCTTCCCATCCCTCCCTTTTTCTTTTCTTTTTTTTATTTTTGGTTAGGCAGTGGAGTTAAGTGACTTGCCGAGGGTCACACAGCTAGTGAGTTTTATGTGTCTGAGGACAAATTTGAACTCAGGTCCTCCTGAATCCAGGGCCGGTGCTCTGTCCACTGTGCCACCTAGCTGCCCTCCCATCTCTCCCAAAGAAGGCTACAATTAACCACAGATATATAGATATATGCGTGTGTTTGTATATGTGTCCATATACATAGATATCTATATACATACATGTATATACACATGTACACTCATAGACTTATATGTAAGACCATACTATGCTTATTTCCACTTGCTATCTGTTTCTCTGAAGGTGGATAGCATCTTCCTTCATAAGCCCAAGTTTTTCCATGTTTTTCCAAATCAACCATCTCATCATTTCCTACATCACAGCAATATTTCAACCTAATCACATTCTATATGAAAGATTAGCTGTGAAAGTTTTTTCCCAGTTTTCTACATTCCTTCTATTCTTGTCTGCATAGGTTTTACCTATACAAGAAAATTTTAATTTAAAATAATCAAAATTATTCATTTCACACTTTAACAATGTTCTCACCTTATAATATGGTTTTAAGGTCTGATACTACTGAATTTGCTTCCTTTATATCTTTTTCTCCCTGGTTTCTTTGAAGTTCCTATCCTTTTGTTCTTCCAAATGAACTTTATTATTTATTTTTTCTAACTCAGCAAGATAATTTCTTAGTGATGTAATTGAGGTGGCATTACATAAATAGATTAGTTGGGTAAAATTGTCACTTTTTAGTATATTGGCTTTACCTACCTATGAACAATAAATATTTACTTCAGTTATTTAGATCTAACTTTATTTGTAGTGTGGAGAGTATTATGATTTTTATAATAATCACTATGATATGTGTAATGAATATACTAATAGGTTAGACTTTGCAGAACTGCCTTTTCCGGCTTGTGAGTCAGACTCACAATGCAGCTTGAACTGATCAATCAGACCTTGACAAGGCTCACAATCACCGGCATCCTGCTGCCTGCGCGCCTGAAGTGAAGTGAATCAAAGACTGTAGAACCTGCGTCCGTCACAGAGCTCTGGTCCTGTGACCCATCAAGTAACAACCCCCAAGGAAGCGAGCAGTATTGCTCCCACAGCACTCCAGAATTGTTGTATTATCTTCTATTTGTGGATTTGTCCTGGGAAGCTACTCTGGCCCTAGGAACAATGGTTTGTAATCCACCCTCCTCCCTCCCTTCCCACTTGTGATTTATGTGTATAATCTCTGTCTTCACTTCTGCAAGGTGGAATTCTGATCAGGAGAGTTCCCAATGTGCAAATCTGTTCCTCATAATGAAACTAATTAATTAAATGGCTACCTGATGACTGGCACTTTGTCTCTGGCCTGCCATTTCAGCATTCTCCAGTTAGAGACTGGCTCAGTAAAATACTGTTAACATTTAAAAAGTGTTGTATGTTTATATTCATACAGTTCCTGTGTCTGTTTTGGTAGATATACTCTCAGGTATTTTATACTGTCTAGTTATTTTAAGTGTTCTAAAACAACATTGAATAATATTACTACACATAAGTGTAGTTTTCCTACATTTCTCTTTTGATTAAATCTATTTGAGCTTTAACTTTGTCTGAGATCATGATTACTACCCCCTGCTTTTTTCACATAATAAATTCTACTCCTGACCTTTATTTTATGTTTCTGTGTATCTCTCATTTTTATAGCATTTCCTGAAAGCAACACATTGTTGAATTCAAATTTTTAATCTGCTGTCAGTTTCCATTTTATGGGTGAATTCATATTCTAAGCTGTAATTACTTGTTATATATTTTCTTCCTTCTTTTTTTCCTCCCTCTCCTTCTCACCCTACTTACCCTATCCATCCTCACTCCTCTGCTTTACTTCCACCTGCTACCTTACTCTCCTATTCCTTAACCTACCCCCCAAGAATCCCTCCCTTAACCTCTTCCCCCATCTTATCCCCTTGCCCTCTTGTTTCTGAATTTAGAACATACACACACACAAATATACACACACATATAGTTCCCGTTTTAACCCATTCCCAATGAGAGTGAAGTTTCAGCACTACCCATCTTCCCCCCCACTAGCTTCTTCTGTAGCAATTTTTTCTTTTTTTTGCCTCATTTGTATGAGATAATTACTCTTTTTTATCTCTCCCTACAGTTTTTTTAGAATCACCCGTCATACTTAGCTCTACCCAAGCCTTTCTTCCAGAGTACCAAATAAAAATGAGTTATAAAAGAACTGATAATATTTTCATACGTAAGAAGTAAATTATTTGACCTTATTGTCTCCCTTATAATTGGTCTTTAATGTTTACTTTATTTTTCTCCTGGCTATTATATGTCAAATTTTCCCTTACATTCTGGGGTTTTTGTCACAAATACCTGAAAGTCTTTCAGTTCATTAATTATCCTTTTTTCTTTCATTCAAGGTTATACTTAAATTTGCTGGGTAAGTTACCCTTGGTCATAACCCCAGGGCTTTTGCTTTGTGAAATATAGTATTCCAAGGGTCCTTCAATGTGGTAGCTGCTAGGTCTTCTGTAATCCTTATGGTAGCTCCATGATGTTTAAATTGTTTTTTTCTTGTTGCTATTTTCTCTTTAACTTGAGAGCTTTGAAACTTGGCTATTATATTCCTCTAAGTTTTCCTCCTGGGATCTTTTCCAGGGGGTGATCAGTAGATTTTTTTTTCTATTTCTGCTTTGCCTTCTTGTTCTAGAACTTCAGGGCAATTTTCCTTGAAAATTTCTTGTAATATTGTATCAAAATTCTTTTTTTATCATAATTTTCAGACAGTCCAACTATTCTTATATTATTTCTCCTTGATCTGTGCTCCAGATCAGTTGTTTTTCTGATGAGAAGTTTGATGTTCTGTTTTTTTCATTCTTCTGAATTTGTTGTGTTATTTCTTTGTGTTTTAGAATGTCATTAGCTTCCCTTTGTCTAATTCTAGTTTTCAAGGAATTATTTTCTTAAGTTTTGGACTCTCTATTTTAAGTTGGTTGTCTTTCTTTTCATAATTTTCTTGATTTTCTTGGATTGCTTTTATTTTTTTTTCTAATTTTTCCTTGCTCTCTCTTATTTTAAAATTTATCCAAGAAATTTTTTTAGTGCTTGGGACAATTTGATGTTTCTCATTGAAAAAGGAGTGGCTTTTTAGCTCCATTATTTCCCTCTAAATATGAACCCAAATCTCCTCTATCCTCATAGAAGCTGTCTATGGAAGGGTTCTTTCTCCTTTGCTTGCTCATTTTTATTCATTTTTTTATTTTAATTTGTTTTTAGCAGCTCTTAGTGTGATAAAGTTCTAGTCCCCCAAGGTGTGGGGAATGATGCTCCAAGCCTCAGGTCCTTCTTACTGTTATTTTCTGAAGTCTGTCTCAGGACTCAACCTTGGGCTCTCTTCTCTACTCCTAAGCCACGGCTAGGGACACCAGCCACACTGTCCCACAAATGATTTTGCTCCCTTTGTGGTCCCTCCAGTAGCTGCAAACTATAGCTGTCCTATCCTGCCTGGAACTGAAGCCAAGAAGTCTGCTTTCCAGTAAGTGTCCACAGTCAGCAAGGTCTATGCCCCTCTGCTACTGCACTCACCAGGTATTTGCTAACTCCTTCCCCATAGCAGCAGCCCAGCCCAGCCCCAGACACATCTGGTCAGCACAGCTGTGCTTGGCGTCCCTCAATGGCGGAAGGTCCTTCATTCTTCTCCTACTCAGCCATCATACCCCACACTGTACAGGAGATGAAAGTTTCTAAGGCTAAGGCTGGCCCTCCACCCCAGCTGTCCTCAGGGCTTGTTGTTTGTTGACTCTACAGAGTTGGCCTGGAGGTGTTTGCACTTTACCCAGGCTAAACCGCTGCCCTAGGAGGTCTTTCCTGGGGTCTTCTTAGCTTATTTTAAGAGAATAACTGCTTTACCTCTGTCTTTTTCTGTGGAAGAAATTTGGAGAGCTGAAAGTTTTCTGACCTAACCTACCATCTTCCCAGAATCCTCTCCCTTTGATTCTCTATCTGGGTAATTTTCTAATGTCTCCAAAACTGTTACCTCAGTTATTTGAGGCTGAACTTGAACAGTTTGAATTTCATGTGGAAATTTACCATCTGCCTTGCTTTAAAAAACAAAAGGAACCCATACAAACCACAACTTCCTCCTTGGTCTAGCTTGTGTTAGCAGTGAACACTGATAGTCTACCACTTTGGGGACAGAGCCAGCATTGCCAACGTGGCTACAAAGCTTGGACTTTGTGCTACCCTTCAGGATAATTAATCTGGATATAAGGCTTATAGTGACTTAGATGCTTAGAGGAAAACACCAGAAAAAGACCATTGAAACTTTGTTTTTTTAATGCACAGAAGAAATCAGAAGGAAGCACATATAGTCAGCAAAGATCCCAATGTAATGAATAGATTTTCTTTTTTTTTTAATAAAGCAAGTGGTATGAAATAGAAATTTAGGTTTATGTATAGAATCTTCTTTGATATTCTGCTGTGTGCATGGAAATTCTCCTCTACCTTCTTTTTTTTGGTGAAGTTTATAATTTGAAAAGAATCAAAATTACCCTATATCTAGAAGCCTTACAAGGTGCCCATGACATGCAGCTGTTTCTACTATCGAGGAAATTAAAACAGGTTTACCAATCTCTTCTACATACATTTCACTGGCTTTGCTACAGAAACTACACTCTTCATTAAAAACAGTAATCCCTATGGGGCAGTTAGATGGCGCAGTGGGTAGAGCACCGGCCCTGGAGTCAGGAGGACCTCAGTTCAAATCTGGCCTCAGACACATAACACATACTAGCTGTGTGACCCTGGGCAAGTCACTTAACCCCATTGCCTAGCCAAAAGACAAAAAACAAAAAACAAAAAAAATACAAAAATTAAAAAAGAAAACAAAGAAAAAATAAAATCAGTAATTCCTCCAAAATTTCAGTCAAATCTTTGAACCAATTCTTAATCATTTTCGGAAACTTCGACATATAAGAGCTGTTGTCTTTGTTGCCATCTTCATTATTGTTGTTGTTGATGTTGATGTTGATGGTGGTCTTGGCTTTGGTGTTGATTTTGACATTGGTCTTGGTGTCGATTTTGACGTTGGTCTTAGTGTTGTTGATGTTGGTGTTGGTGTTGATGTTGACATTGATGGTAGCATTGGTGTTGTTGTTGATGTTGATGTTAGTGTTGATGTTGGTGTTGGTGTTGATGTTGATGGTGGTATTGGTGTTGTTGATGTTGATGTTGATGTTGGTGTTGGTGTTGATTTTGATGTTGGTCTTGGTGTTGTTGATGTTGTTGTTGATGTTGGTGTTGCTGTTGATATTGATGGTGGTATTGGTGTTGTTGATGTTGATGGTGGTGGTAGTGTTGTTGATGTTGTTGGTGTTGATGTTGGTGTTGATGTTGACATTGATGGTAGCATTGGTGGTGGTGTTGATGTTAGTGTTGGTGTTGGTATTGGTGTTGATGTTGATGGTGGTATTGGTGTTATTATTGATGTTGATGGTGGTGGTAGTGTTGTCATTCTCATCATCATTCTTCATTTTCTCCTTCAACTTCAGCTGCTCAGTGACAGGGATCCCCAGGTCCTGAGGGGAAGCACAGAAAACTCAGGTTAATGGTCAAGAGCTGAATTACATAGACAAAAAACTTTGTTCCTCTAAATGCCCAACCTCCTCTCTTATCCTCAGGTCAGAGTTTTCTTTCTTTCTTGCCCTCCTTTTCATCCATCCTTCCCCCAAGTCCTCTGTCAGACAGACAGTTTCCATCATATACACCAGCCTGGGGATAGACAACAGAGATCAGAGGGCAAGGGGATAGCAAAGTCCAGGGCAAGTGACAAAGGGGAATGAATAACAAAGGCCATGGTGGGTGAAAGACTAGACTAGGGAAGGGGCACAGCAATGATGCTGGGGCAGGTATGGAGGACAGAGGCAGGAACTGGAAAGATTGGGACCCAGATGATTTTGTTTCTGATATTGAGCACCAACAGTATCCATCACAAGGTTGTTATTTTTTGTAAGTGAGTTAATAAAAAGCATAAAAATTAGAAAATATAAATATTCTTTTTTTTGTTTTTGCTTTTCTAGGCAATTGGGTTTAAGTGACTTGCCCAGGGTCACACAGCTAGTAAATGTCAAGTATTTGGTCTGAGGTCGGATTTGAGCTCAGGTCCTCCTGACTTCAGGGCCGGTACTGTATCTACTGTGCCACCTAGCTGCCCCAGAAAATATAAATATTCTTAACTCAAGCATTTGCTGGATCATTGTTCTATAAAACCTATTTGTATAATATAAAACATTCTTAAGGGTTTGAGGATTAAGGGTTGACATTTTCTTCAGTTATCAGACCTTGGAATCACATTTTGTAAAAAAAAATAAAATAAAATAAATGGGGACCATTAAAAAAGAAAAAGGTTTTTGATGTCACCCTGAACGAGAGGTGGAGAGCAGCAGGTAAGGGGCAGACAGCTCTGACAGCCCCCTCCCACCCTTGTTGGAAAGACAACAAAACTCCCAGGGTACATGAGGAAGCAGAGTGGGATGAAGAGAGAGAGGAAGGTCATTGAACAGGACCCAGAAGTCCTAAATCTCAGTTGCCCTTAATGTGAGGAGGCCTGAATAGTAGAGTCCCTGGATGAAATTGGGGACAGTATAACAGGGGCTCTGGCCAATGGAAGCCTGTTCCCAGAGCGTGCTCAGCAAGCTCTGCCTTCTCACAGCTCATAGGGAAGAGGCTGGGAAGACTCCATCCAGGAAAAGCATGATGATGTATGATGGAAGAGCCAGGTGAGGTGCCATAACCATACTGAAGAGTAGAATTCAGCCTCGCAAGAAGTGGACCTGGCTGAGAATGGGGCAACTCATCCGTTAGGTCTGCCAGAGGTAAAGGAAGTAGGGAAAATATTTGTAGTAGCTACTTCAAGTCTGAGCTGAGTCTTCCCCGACCCCTTCTCCCATTAACAGATTGTGTATTTATGGGAGAGTGAGTCCCCTAGGGTGGAGGGATGTGTCAGTACTTCCATTCTTGCTATATCTTCTCAGTAAATATCCTTTTAAAAAAGATCATTGGTTTTAATTAGTTCCGTGATACTGGGGTGCTAATCATTGGAGGTTATCAATGACATAAGGAAGACATTAACCATAATTGGTGATTGTTACTGGTAAGAACACACGAGAATGGGAGATCAACTTAGTGGCATTAGAAAGATACCTGCAACCACTCACAGGTGCTCCTAGAATCCTGAAGGGGAGCAGTTTCTTGTTTTAGGACCCTGACCAGCTGATATGTATATAGCTTGGGAGAATAAGTCCAGAGCCTCAGAATAACAGGGTAGGACAAGACAAGATAGAAGGAGAAAGAACTGAAATCTGGGCTTACCTCGTACTGAGAGGTTAAATTTTGAATATTTTCCAAGTCTGTTGAATCATCATCCTGTTTGGAGAAAATTTTTTTTGATCCTTACCTTCTCCAGCTTCCTCACATCTTTGCTCTAACAAGTACCTTGCCCATCCCTATCTAATAACATTAAGGTACCAGCCTGGAGACTGAATTCCTCCTCCTACCTCTAATTCAATGGAATGGCTTAAGGAAAACCCCTCCCTTCTGAGTTTTAATTTTCCATCTATAAAGATGGAGATAACAATCATCACTGTTGTGAGGCACTGATGAGACCATGAATGTGGAAATGTTCTGAAAAGTCTCAAGCCATGAGTAAGAAGAAGGTATTATTATTGTTGTTACTGTTGTTGTTGGTATGCCAGGTAGCACCTTTACCCCAAATCCCAACCATCCCAATACTTCTAAGGAAATCTAAGGAATCTGGCTATCTAACCATGGTTCCCAGGGCTCGGGGCTCAGGGATAGAGATTGAAACCTACCTCATTTATTCTCAATTTAATGCTGTCTATGAACTGGTCAGCTTTCTGGTGCTGTGAAAAGAAAAGCAAGGCCAGAAGTTGGAGCTGGGGTGGGCACAGGTAGGTCCTGGACCTCCTCTGCAGCAAACATCCAAAATCTCCCTACCTTCCTGGGAAACTTGAGAGTAGGACAAGGGGATGGAGGGAGAGGGAGAAATAAGATCTTGCCTAGGCCCTGTAATATATTTGCTTTCTCACAATAGGTAAGTTTCCTTTGCCCCAGTGTTCCTGTTTCTCCAACTATAAGATGAGATGGTAGAAGCTGATGATCTCTCCTTGTCCCTCTAAATCAGTGATCCTATGATGTTCTCAGATCATCTCTAAAGTATTCTCCATCTGTGAGGTGCCATGGTTATTTATTCTGATTTTTCCTTGATCAAGAAATAGAGGTTCTATAAGGGAATATATCTGTTTGCCTTACAACAAGTTGCCTGAAATCTTCCAATTCTGAGGTCTTGACCTGTGGAGGAAAGAGTCTGAGTAAATCCCCTTCCCAGTCTCTCTCCCTACTAAAATATAGAGAGGGCAACAAAGCCTCCTTTTCCAACCACGCTGTACCCCCAATCCCAGAGCATGCTTAAAATTGCCCTCTTATGCCACATGTGAAAGTTGGGGCTGGGGAGCCTGCATCCAGACTCATGAGACATTCTCAGAGTATAAGCCTCTCAGGGGCCTAAAGCACAAAGGGTCCATGTGGTCTCCCTCCACCCCAAACCATGAGTGGCAACACTTAGAGTACTGTAAGAGGAGAGATGACCCCTGCTACAATAATCATTTTTTATTGTTCACAACAATAATAGTCGCTGATACTTATCTAGTGATTTCTTCTGTCACAGACATATTCTCAAACACAATGTATGGGAAACACTTTGTTAACATACAAACATCATTTTGGCTTACTACTCTTTTTATCCAACAAACATTCGTGAAGTACCTCCTCTCTTCTTTAGTCCCACCTTTCCTCTCAGAACCCCAAATGACAGGGCAGGGGCTGGGCTGGCTGATGGTTTGAGGGAGGGGGAGAGGAGGTGAGGCCATGGGATATACAGCAGCCCCTTCTTACAGCCATGGGGATCCCAGAGATGATCCCTCCCTCCTGCCCTCACTTTTAGCTTTCCCCACTCTAGCTGGGTCCCTGGGCTTACCTTCGAATAGCACATGGTGGACCTAAGAGTGGGGGGCCGAGATGTGTGAGGAGCAAGCAGAGTCTGTGGGAAGAAGAGACTGATCTGGGGGATAAGGAGAGGGGTTATTCTTGATTTCTCCCAGTGCTGTTGTGGCCCCTGGAAGAAAAAACTCAGAGACAGTTTCTAGTCAGTAGATTTTTGACTTGCAAAGCAGGGGAGATGGACACAGATAAATGTATCTGGATACAATTCAATTAGATTTTCTTAGAAGGATGCTTTTATATATGAAAGCAACAATACCAAAGGAAATGCTTCCTCAACTCTGGCTGGCTACGCTAACCAGTCATAGGAATCTGTGCATGGGAACACAAGGAAACAAACTGACAGTATGATCATTATCCGATTATCAGAAGGTATAAATAACATATGGTTCATGAAGTAGGAGCAGCAAAGTCCTATTTTTCCCCCAGACCAGGGAGGCTCCATCCTTTCCCCATATGGTGATTGGGCGATCCTTTCCCCTATATTGTTAGCCCTGTACGCTGGGCAGACAACTACTTCCCCCACATGTTGAATGGGCAACCACACCACTGCATAGCCTACCCTATCACCAACAACCTTGTGCTCTAGTGATCCTCAGCCCACCCCGCCACCAGCGATGTAGTCAAGGAACTTTCCCAAGACTGTACAAGGGCAGTAAGCTTCCTCAATGCCCCATAGTAACTTATATGATGTCAAAGTCCCCATTAACATCTTATGAATATGGTAATGAAGGGACTCTCCAGAGTGAAAGCATAGATAGCTATTTTACCATAGCCATCACAAGACCCAGTAAAGGGCAGGCAGGCACAAGTCTTTTTTCAATTGCATAGCACAAAGATTATGTCATAGCAAATTTCCATAAGTTACTCCCCCTTTAGCTCCGATAAAAGCAAGTCCCCATTCCCCTTCCACCCAACCAACCACCTTCCTGACATTGCTTTGTTGAAGTTTAGGGTTGGGAGAGCTGGTTCAAGTGTGAAAGAATTCACTTAGACCTTCTCTGTAGCCATTGGGAGCTTTATTTTGTCAAAGCTTCATGGGCCTGAGGTTAGCAAGTAGCTAAAGGAAGGGCGCTGACATAGGAAAAAACCCAGGTTTATATAGATAGAAAACTATACAGCCTGTAGGAAGATGATGTATTTTTGGAGTTTCATATGGGAGTGGAAAGAAAAATTAGGGGGCAGCTAGGTGGTGCAGTTGGTAGAGCACTGGCCCTGAAGTCAGGATGACCTGAGTTCAAATCTCGGCCTCAGACCAAACACTTGACACTTACTAGCTATGTGACCCTGGGCAAGTCACTTAACCCCAATTGCCTAAAACAAAGCAAAAATAAAAGATAAGGAAAAATTGTCCTGACACAGGATGAGGAAGATAAATGACACGATAAGGAACACAGGATAATGGAAACAAAGGCAATTCCTTTGGTACAGGATGGGCTAGGGGCCTGGGAAAGTAGCCCTTAATATTATTTTTCATCCTAGGGCACTTTTTGCCCCCACTTCAGCTTGGGTCTGTTTGCTTTTGCCACAATAAAGCTTCACCAATTGAAAAATAAGTCAGGCTCTTGGGTAATTTTTAGCCCTTGAATTAGCTCTCCCCTTGCTGTTCAGACACTTGACTGAAGCAATGAAATGTCTATTAGAAGAGAATGAATAAAAGGTACAGGATCTTTTTTCAGCTGGACCTTGTGCTTACTCAGCCAGCTGCAGCAGCCCTGTAATTCCTTGAGACCAAGACATAATTACTGATATTGAAAGATTTTGAAACTATTTCACATCCGTCCCCAGACTCCTTCTGGGATATGGGGCTTCACCAGACTTGGGAGGACTATCCCTCCTCACCATCCCCCCATACCTTAGCCCACCCCACACCTCCCTCCTGCCCTGTGACAGCTTCCAGGCTGATTTCTGTCCCATGCCCCTCAGAGCTCCCTTGCTGCCTCTCTTGGGCATTTTGTTCTCTTCCTCTTTAACCATCACCTCTAGCATTCTTCTAGCCCACTCTCCAGGAATTTCCCCAGCCTCTCACCTCTTCCAGCAGTGGGCTCCTGGCTCCCTCTGAGAGAAGAGCATGTGGGGAGGAAAGCCACTTGGATATAAAATAGGAAAGGGAGTGGGGGAAGTGGGTGGAACTTTAGTGAGCATCAACTGTTTGCCCTTCTCAGGGCAGCTAAGTGACACATTGAATAGAGTACTGACATGGAGTCAGGAAGACCTGAGCCCGCAACTGACCACAAACTCTTGCCAGCTATGTGACCCTGGGCAAGTTATGTAGCCTCTGTTTGCCTCAGTTTCCTCAACTTCAAAATGGGAATAATTACCACATATTCTTCCCAGGATTGTAGGGGGATCAAATGAGATCTCATTTGTTAAGTGCCTGACACATAGTAGATGCTCTTTAAATACTAATATATTATTATTATTATTAACATCATTACCATCTCCACCTCCATTTAACTATATAACCTTTATCTGATAATTGTATATTATGTGCAATTCTCAGTAGGAGAGTCAGAGTCCTTCTGTAGCAACTTAATCTTATCTCCATTTGACTGGAGGGGGTAGACAAACAATATGTACAAATCACATGATTTCTTCTGAATTAGATGAAAATGAAAGCTCTTAATTCAGCCCCAATATAGTCACTCACACTGCTTCCTAACCCAACCAGTCCCATTCTTTTCTTCTTGTAGCCTCCTTTCACAACTCTACCAACAGTGCATTAGTGTCCCAGTTTTCCCCTATCCCCTCCAACATTTATCTTTTTCCTTTTTTGTCATATTAGCCAATCTGACAGATGGGAGGTAGTACCTCAGAGTTGTTCTAATTTGTGTTTCTCTAAACAATAGTGATTTAGAGCATTTTTTCATATGACTGTAGATACCTTTAATTTCTTTGTCTGAAAACTGCCTGTTCATATCCTTTGACCACATATCAGTTGGCTAATGATTTGTATTCTTATAAATTTGACTCAGTTCTTTATGTGTTTTAGAAATGAGATCTTTATGAGTGATACTTGTTGCAAAATTTTTTTCCCCCAGTTTTCTGTTTGCCTTTTCATTTTTGTTCTTTATGTTCTCTTTGGCCCTAAATTCTTCCCCTTATCCATAGATCTGACAAATAAACTATTCCATGCTCTCGTAATTTGCTTATGGTGTCACCATTTATGTGTAAATCATGTACCCATTTTGATCTTATCTTGGTATAGGATGTGAGATGTTGATCTATGCTTAGTTTCTGCTGTACCATTTTCCAGTTTTCCCAGCAGTTTTTGTCAAATAATGATTTTTTTTGTGATTTAAATGATTTAGTGATTTAAAAATTTTGTTCCAAAACCTTGGATCTTTGGATTTATCAGATACTAGATTACTATGGTCATTTACTAGAATGAAATGTGGATTTAACCTATTCCTCTAATCCACCACTCTATTTCTTAGCCAGTACCAGATTCTTTTGATAATTACCACTTTACAATATAGTTTGAGATTTGGTATGGCTGTAGACCACCTTCCTTCACATTTTTTTTTCATTGATTCCTTTGATATGCTTGTTTTTTTATTCTTCCGCATGAATTTTCTTATTTTTTTTAGGGTTATAAAATAAATTTTTGATAATTTGATTGGTATGACACTGAATAGATCAATTTAGGTAGAATTGTCACTTTCCTTATATGGCTATTTTCCCAATTGCTTAATTCTGACTTTATTTGTATGGAAAGTGTTTTGTAATCATGTTTACATAGTTCTTGGGTTTGTCTTGGCAGGTAGCCTCCCAAGTATTTTACATTGTCTACAGTTATTTTGAATGGAATTTCTCTTTCTATTTCTTGCTACTGGACTTTGTTGGTAGTATATAGGAATGCTGATGATTTATGTGGGTTGATTTTGCATTCTGAAACTTTGCTGAAGTTGTTAATTTTTTCAAGTCATTATTTACTTGATTCCCTAGGACTCTCTAAACATACCCTCATATCATCTGCCAAGGGTGGTCATTTTGTTTCCTCATTGCCTATTCTAATTCCTTCAATTTCATTTTCTTCTCTTATTGCTATAAATAGCATTTCTTTTTTAAAAATTTATTTATTTATTTTTAGTTTTCAACATTCACTTCTATAAAGATATTGAGTTCTAAATTTTCTCACCCTCCTTCCTATACTCTCTCCTCAAGATGGCATTCAATCTGATAGAGGTTCTACATATACATTCATATTAAACACATTTTCACATTAATCATGTTGTAAAGAAGAATTAGAACCAATGGGAGGAACCACGAGAAAGAAGAAACAAAATAAAACAACCAAAAAAAAGAGACGGAAAATACTATGCTTCAATTTGCATTCAGACTCCATAGTTCTTTTTCTGGATGTGGACAGCATTTTCCATCATGAGTCTTTTTAGAGTCGTCCTAGATCCTTGCATTGCTGAGAAGAGCTTAGTCTATCAAAGTTAGACATCCCATAATTTGGCTGTTACTGTGTACAATGTTCTCCTGGTTCTGCTCACTTCACTCAGTATCAGTTCATGTAAGTCTTTCCAGGTTTTTCTGAAGCCTGTTCATCATTTCTTATAGCACAATAGTATTCCATTACATTCAATACCACAACTTGTTCAGCCATTCCCCAATTGATGGTGAAAATTTCCAATTCTTTGCCACCACAAAAAGAACTGCTATAAATATTTTTGTACATGTGGGTGCCTTTTCCATTTTTATGATCTCTTTGGGATGAAGACCTAGAAATGGTATTGCTGGGTCAAAAGGTGTATGCAGTTTTATAGCCCCTTTGAGTGTATATAACTAACATTTCTAATACAATATTAAATAATAGAGATGATAATGGGCATCCTTCCTTCACCCCTAATTGTACTGGGAAGGCTGCTAGCTTATCCTCATTACAGATAATGCTTGCTGATGGTTTTAGATAAATATTTCTTATCATTTACTTATCACTTTAAGATAAACTCCATATATTCTTATGCTCTCTAGTGTTTTTAATAGGAATGGGTGCTGTATTTTTTCAAAGGCTTTTTCTGCATCGGTTGATATAATCATATGGTTTCTGCTAGTTTTGTTATTGATCTGGTCAATTAGACAAATAGTTTTCCTAATATTGGACAAGCCCTGCATTCCTGGCATAAATCCCACCTGGTCATAGTGTATGATCCTTGTGATATATTACTGTAATCTCCTTGCTAGTGTTTTATTTATATTTTTGCATCAATATTCATTAGAGAAATAGGTCTATAATTTTCTTTCTCTGTTTTGGCTCTTCCTGGTTTAGGTATCATCATGGAAGTAGCTTTCCAGTGCTATCTTCTTGATCCCCCATTCTGCTGTGCTCTCACCAGTAACAATCTCCAGTTATGGTTAGCATCTCCCTTATTATTATTTCCAATGATTAGCACCCCAATATCATTTAACTAATTAAAATCAATTAGCTTTTACAAAAGGATATTTATTGAGAAGATATAACAAGAATAGAAGTACTAACATATCCCTCCACCCTAAGGGACACACACTCTCCTCTAAATACACAGAGGCCAGTGATTAGAGTCATGGGAAAGACTGGGCCCAGACTTAAAGTAGCTACCACAAATATTCTCCCCACCACCTTCACTTTTGAATGAAGCAGAGGTAATGGATGAGATGCCTCATTCTCAGGCAGGTCCGTTCTCTGCCAGCCTGGATTCTGGTCCTCAGTACAGTTATGGCACTTCACCTGGCCCTTGCATCATATATCATCACACTTTCCTGGATGTAGTCTTCCCATCCTCTTCCCCGTGACCTGGTAGCAGGCAGAGAACCCTGTGCATGCTCTGGGGATAAGGCTTCCGTTGACCAAGACCCCTGTTATGCTGTCCCCAGTTTAGTCCAAGGACTCCTCTACCCTTGCCTCCTCACTGGCATTAAGGAGAACTGAGATTTAGGACTTCTGGATCTTGTTCAGTGACCTCCCCAACTCTCTTCATCCCGCTATTCTTCCTCATGTGCCGGGGGGGGGGGTCTGTTGTCTTTCCAGCGTGAGTTGGGAGTGGGTCTGCCTGAACTTGTCTGCCCTTTACATGCTGCTTTCTACCTTTTGCCCAGGATGAAATCAAAGAATATTTCTTTGATATTTTTGGTGCTGACTATCAGAGATGAAATCAGGTGGGTCCCAGTGTCTCATTGCTACTTCAGTCCTCCCCACCAGCCTCAGCCTCATTGTCATGCCCCTTCCTGACTCTAACCTTTTTTTTACCTACTCACCTCCCTATTTTTAATTTCCTCCCTATGTTACCCTGGCTTCTGTCATCCCCTTGCCTTCTGAGCTCTGTTGGCTACCCATATACTAGTATCTACAATGAAATCCACATGTCTGAGAGAGAGGACTTGAAGGGAAAGGTCAATGAAAGGGAGGGTAAAGGAGAAAGAAAGCCCTGGCCTGAGAATGGGAGAAGAGGCTGGGTATTGGGGACAACATTCTGTATCCATGTAATCCAACTGTAAACCTGGGTTTTCTTCCCCTCAGGCCCATGCTGGCATTCCATCTCTAGAGAGCTGGACTTGCAGTCCAAAATAGAGAACTCTAAATAGTATTCCAATTATCTTGATTCCCCACCAAAAACTGGTATAATGCTGGAAATGTCCGTGACTCCCTAAATTAGGAGTTAATTCTGAGAGTACAAGATTGTGGTAAAAGCTGGTGACATGGTTGAAGGAAAAATGGGCTACCCCGAAGGACAGATAATTTCCTCCTGGGAAGGAATATTATACATAGTGAAGAAAATATGAGAATGATTTTAGAATCTATTTTATTTCCCTCCACAGTAGAAAGGGCAGCATGCCATGGCCCCCCTGTAAAGCTTCCAGATTTAGGATAATTTTAATATTTTTCAACTTATAAACTTAAGAAGAAGAAAAAAGAAGAGAGAGGTTGAATTTCCATACACACAGCAGGACACAAAAGGAAGACCTTATATGCAAACCTCCATCTCTATTCATACCGTTTTTTTTAAGTACATAATTCCATATATTACATTGAAATCTCTCCTGATTATGCTTCCTTCTGATCTCTTCTGTGCATTTGAAAAATATTTTTTTTCAATGGCCTTCTTTATCTA